AAAAAAAAGAAAAAAAAGATTTGCGGGAGAATGGAGAGCAAAGTGGAAACAAAGCGACATGTTGCGCCTGAAAGGTTCTTTGGACGGGGGAATCCCCCACCTAGCCTCCGCCAAGGTTGACCTTCAATGGGAGCACGTGGTGTCGGAATGGTAAGAAATGGCAGTATGGCTGGATGTCCTGGTTGTTCGAGGAGGTTAGGGCTGTGGATGCGGCTGTCTGAGTCCGGAATCCGAAGATAGCTTCAAGATATATGTATTTTCTTGTTTGTTTCGGAATTTTCAATCCGACCAAATTCGTTTGGGTGTCAGTTCGTGTTTGGTTAAAGTTGGTTAGAAGTTGGTTTAAATGAGATTTTCTAGGAAGTTTGATTCCATATTGCCTCACAAGAGCTAAATACTACAGGGATATATCTCTAAATAAACTAAAAAGTTTGAAGGCATATTGTTCCTGCTTAAAATGTTCTGCGAACGTACACTTAATTTTTCAGGTCTTCAAAATAAACAAAGTTTAATTTGCTTACTTAAGTTTTAAGCATTTGTTTTATGTAATTTATATTATTAGATATTAAAACCTTGAAGAGTTCATTAGCATGGAGGTTAGATAACAATAGCTAGTAGAGTTTGATAAGATAACTGTCTAGAGTAAGTAAACATCTTATTTTATGTGTGAATACCTCTAATTGAATGAACAAATACGCAGCCTGGGAAGTCTGTTGAGATAAAAATTTTGAGCTTTGAAATCATATTTTACTCAAAGTTACCGCTTTTTACTGTCGCCCTGTTAGTCATGATTTAATCTTTGAAAGTTCCAATGTTTTTAGTCAAGTGACTAATCCGCAGCAGCTGTTTATTTTATAAAAAAGTTTATAAAATACAAAATAAACGGTGATAAGGATCAGCAGAACAAGGCAAACCATTTGGTTCATTTAGGTACATCCCATTTGGAAAAAATCAGGAGCCACAAAATGCTTTATCCACGCCCCATCAACGTCATCCATTTATTGTTATTTATATTACGCATTTCAGCCCTCTTATCGGCAATCAAATAATTAGAAAAGGTGAAGCAGGTGAAACAGGGCGTAACAGGGAAAACCTCACAATGCCAATACAAATTATGGAACTTGCCCTTTGGAGGTCTTTAAGGCTTCTTTATAACAATAACAAAGGAGGAGAAAGGGGTATACTTCAGGAAATAAGGGTAAAAAAGGTGAAATGAGTTGGGTACACGGAAAATAATTGGAGAATGAAATTGATTATAATAAATCTAAGCATACATTAAATTGTTATTTATTAAAAAAATTAAAAATTTTGAAGCTAAAATAAAAACAATAATATTTTAGATCAACTTAAAATACGTTTTCCTGATATCAAAACGTATCAAAAACTTTGTACTTCCTATCACAACTTGAAATATTTCCAAAAATTCATATTTTTGTTTTGTGTGTAGAAAAAGAACAGCTACAAGTTTGTTTAACAAAGTGGTTTTCAACACCCCATAAAAAACATTTGCAAAAAGCAGCGGAAAAGCAAAGCAAAAGGCAACAGTAACAAAAGAGCAAAAATAAGAGTACACAAAAAAGTACAAGCCCAGGCAAATTTCCCGTTGTTTCCGCACGTAAAAGTAAAAGGCAAATAAATAACCGTTGAGAGAAATGTAAACAATGCAGGCCAAAGATGCACAGCAGATGAGCGAGAAGAAATAGCAGCAGATGAAAAGATGAAAACGGGAAAATGCCAAAAGCACAAATAGCATCTGAAGCAGCCGGTTCAACTTGAATTTTCCTCGCAAGGTTTTTCTTTTTGCCTATTTTTGTACTTCTCCTGCTGCTGGTGCTGGTGCTGGTGATGGTGATGGTGCTGGTGCTATGTAAAAATCTGCACTCGAAAAGGGCAGACCAAGTGGCAGATAGTTGGAAAATGTGGAGGGAAAACTAGGGAGAAAACTAACTACATGCATTCAGTTCTAATGAACGAGCTAAGCTGAAGAGCAGAAGCAAGTCGAGCATAATGGAGATGGGATAAACAAAATGGAGAGAATTGCTTAATTTATGGGACTTGGTCGAGAGGAAAATTCTTGAAAATCTGCATACCAGCAGCGGAAGGGAAATCCATTATTGGCTATTGTCAAATTCACATATTCACAATTTTCTGGCATTAAAAAACTTTGCTAATTTCTTAATGGTCAGTATATATTATATAGTACGATTAATTAATTATTAGTTATTAAATTCAAATATCTCTGATTGCTAGGCAGAAATTAGTAAATATATTAGATATCCAACCTTATTAAAATTTATAATTTGGCTGAATCAAATGTCAGCACATGGTTGGCTTGTGGCATTTTATACTTGGTTTGCTAATCTGGAATAAATTATCTTTTTATTTAAGCTAATTTATTTAAGTATTATCACGATTTTATTTGGTGAAAATTGTTTGTATTTATTTATCAAAAAAGCCATTTTAAAATCATTTTTAAAATATAAAAAGATTTGGCAATAAATAATAACTGAAAGCTACACAATAGATAACAATTAACAAATGTAGAAACACAATTATCGATGAAAAGCCCAACAAATTAACAGCCACGTGGCCGTTAAATTAATATTCTCTACGTGCTTAAGTGAGCTTTATTTTTAATGGTTAGCTGGTTTAAGCTGGTTAGTCCTGATAAGTTAACAGACAAAAACAGAGCTGTGAAGTAGGGCAAGTCTTTATACACTCTTAAATTAAATGCCAAATGGAAATATGAAATAAAATATATTTTTTGAATCAATTTTTTGTGCGTTAAAGTGGAAATTTATAAACCAATTGAGAAGACCAAAAAAGTGGAACAAAATCAGCGATACAAAAAACGGGAAACGGCAAACAAGTGAAATGGAGCAAATCTTTAAGCAAATGTCGAGTGGGCGGCAATTGATAAACTGCGCCAGATAGAGCCGCAATAAAGGGGGCGGGCAAGTGGGGAAACAGGGTAGAAAAACACACACACAGTAGCGCATTTCCCCTTGCCATTCTCCCTACAGGGCAGACATTGCCAATAGCGCAACGTTTCGGAAACAATTTGAAGGCCATAAAACTTGATGTGGCGGCTGTCATAAAGGAGGCGACACCAGGCACAGATTCTACCCCACATTTTGCGACCTCCAGAAGTTAGGTGAAAACTGCGACGGCACTCAAGATGCGGCAGATGCGGAAAGTCTGCGGAATACGGAAAATTCAGATACGAATACGGCAAAGCCAAAGCAGCAAACTCCGGCAGAGGGCAAGGCGGCAAAAGTCGTCGAAAACAAACAAATAAACATCAAGCAGCTGTTTTTGGCGCCGCAACAGAGAGAGAGACAAAAAGAAAGAGCGGACCGAGAGAGAGAGAGTTTGTAAGATAGAAATTCAGAGCGAAGAGAGTGAGAGTATGCTTTTATTACAGCTCTCTGCCGGTTACAGTAGTCCTTGAAATAAGTGCAATCAGAGCGAAATTATAACTAACATTGGTCGTTGTGGAATGTCCCATATTTCCTATTGAACATTGCAGATTTGTATATAAAATATAAAAAATATTTATTTTATTATTATTTTGAAAATTTATAAAAATAGTGCAACAATGAGCTAGTGCAACCTGCAGTGCACTCAATATTCCGGCCACCACTCTGAGTGTCACCTACCTGCTTTCTCTCCCGCTCTGCCTGGTTCTCTCCCACCCTTTACCTCTCTCTTGCTCTTCCTGTGCAATTTCTCACCGCCCACTTATCTTACGGCACTCACTCATTCATGGCCAGACTGTTGGATCCTCTTGCCCCCCTTTTTCTTCCTAAAAGTCAGCTGCGCCTATTGGCAAAACCAATACTTACAGTGGAGGTCAACAAATTATAACGGAATGTTATGACTTGAGTTAAACTTAAAATTGCTTATTTTACATGAAGGGTTTAAGCATTTAAAAATGTTTTATAAATGTTTCTGACTTACATTCTGTAATTCACAAATGTCAATTATATAAAATATACTAATATTAAAAACAATAAATAGTCATAATATGAATATAAATTTATATAAAATAATATATATATAAATTTTGTATTACTTTCTTATTTTATTTTTTATTCGTTTTTAGTTTAGCAATTTAAGAAATAATCAATAAAGAACGAAGCAAAAACTAAACTAAGAAAGTTTTAAAGTATTATTATCCAATTAAAGTAGAACAAATTAAAAATTAAAAAGTAAATTATCTTTAAATACATTTCGTTGCTTGCCAATATTTTGGGCACGACTGTACGGGCAAACATACGGACAGACACAACACCAACGAACGAATGGGAGAACGAAAGGCACCGACGCCGACTGCAGAACGCCGACGCTGCGGCATTTTGGCGCTTGGCATGTTGGCCATGTTTTTGAAACGTTTGAAGCGACTTCTGCTCCTCAGTCGCCGTTCTGCTGCTGCAAAGCCAGCAACAAAGTTCCGCAGCGGACCCGTAATCAGTTAAACGAAAGTGGCGTAGTCGCAGCGTTAAATACGTACGGATACGGAATACGTTGCTGGCAGTGTGGGCCTCAAGCCGATTATTACGTATACGCACCGCGTGCCGCCGCTTGGCGAATTTTTATTATTATTTTCCACAAGTGTCACAAGGCACAAGGCAAATATGAAGCCGAAATGTAAATGAAAATGAGCGGGCGAGGCGAAAGGCACAAACAAAGATAACAACGGGACAAGCAACAACAACGATAGTTGGGCCAAATCAATGACGATAAGGCGGCAAAAAGTTGGGCCAAAAGGAATATCGCCAATAAAATGGAAAAATATGAATGAGCTGAAAAGAAATTGAATAGTTAATATTAAAAAAAAAGAAACTGTGAAAAGCTAATAAAGTAATGCCACAAAGAAAGTTATACAATAAGAAAAAATCAAACAAAATATAATATAAAATAACAAAGATAAAATAAATGAAGGAAAAATGAATATTATTGCAAAAAATTACACAAGCTAATAAATCCAAATAAAAAAGAAAGCGAAAAAATCATCGAACAACAAAAGAAACAAAAACCAACCCCAAAATAAAATGAAATTGTATTTTCTTGCCTCTTCAATATTTTTTTTGCCTCTTGACATGATAAGAAAACTGTAAAAGACCTGATAGATTGCATGAATGATGTGAGGGGGCGGGGACATATTCCTGAACGTCGATTTCCATTTAATGTGAGTGAGTGCGCCAGGCGGGCAAAAATAAACAAACAAACAAATCAACCACAATAGAGTTCCCTTACATTCCTCTTCGATTCTACGGAAAATGCAACACAAATATTAGCCATGTCATAAAACAATTAACCCAAACGTATTAATTGCAATCTTGTGATAGTGAAAATATGGAAACGAAAAGCCACGCGAGGCGGGAATAGCAAACAAACCAGAGGTAAATGATAAACACAAACTTTTTACTAGTTAACAACGGGAAACTAAATAGATTTCACAAGAATAGTCGACAAAGCTACAGACATTACATAAAATTAGAGAAAATAATTTAATAAAAGTTATTCGTAATAATAAACTAGAATGAAGTATCCATGAAATTTTGATAAGCCCTACAGCAAACAACATAATTAGTTCGAAATTGTTGGTAAACAACTGTTCAGTGACCCAAATAAACATTTTAAAATTCATTAGTTAAGAACTTGTTGTATGCAAAATATGAAAAATTTGATAGATGTGAAAATTTGGGAATTTATTCGGTTGAACGTTTTCCATGAAATTTAAATAACAAAAGTCGTTCAGCAACGATAAATTTTAAAACAACATGAAACCCAATTAAAATTCTAAACGAGTTCCATTTTGCATTTCAAATTTCACATTTTTCACATGTTTTACATTTTTTCTTATTTTCTTATTTGTCAACAAATAATTCTGAGAATAATTTACTTTTCCCTCTTTGAATGCTTCGCATTTCTCGTGCCATTTTCTAGCCAATTATTGGTCTGCATTTTGACCAATTGACGATGGCTGTCGATGACAGCTTTAAGCCTTTCGTTGAAGAAATATACATTTTTGGTTTTATGCTCAACAAATAAAAATGCCATAAAAATGAGAGGAATATGGAAAATAAATGAACTCATATTTGTTCAGAAATAAATTAAATTTTCAATAAAATAAGTTATTGAATTGTTTATTGGTTTTGGTTGACAGTTGAAGTCTAATTAATAGACAGACAAATTGATCGAATGTATCCCTAATGGGTCATAAAAAACTAAACAGATTTTAATTATTTTTCTCGTTTGACCGTTAAAATTGATCAAGTGAATAACTTAACTTAGTTAACTTTATTAATTAGGAAATTTATGGTATTGCTGCCAAGCAATTTTCTCCTTGACCAACGCTTTTCATTTAAAACTTTTAATTAAAATATTTATTTATTGCCCAAAACAGAGATTCGCCCAAGTTCTTTTCCAGTTTTGTAGCTTTACCGCAACGAAAACAAAACTTTAAATACTTTAATTTCGTGAGGGAAAAGTTTCGGAATGAATGCCAAACCATACAGAAATCGAGTGCCAATAACAACTTGTCCTCAGACACCAAATTGGCCTCCATGAAAGTTCAGTTGCCAAAAATCTGGGAGGAAGCAGATGGAGTGTTGAGAAAGGAATGTTCAACAAATACCCTTTGATATAGAGAATATTGCGTATACGTATTTTGGCCAAATTATAAGGATTAAAAAGTCATTTTTAGTAACATATTTTCAGATCTTATTTTGGATTTAATCTTTAACAAAGGGAATATGCTGTTATTAAAGAAAATAACTTAAACAAATTCATTTTATTTTATTATATTATTTTTATCTGAAGAAAAGCTGACCTGAATTTTATCATACCCAACCAATTCCAGCAACAAAAAAAAAGAAAATAAGAAAAACAATAACAAGCAGCAGGAATAACTTTTTCAATTGGCTTCCGCTCTTACAAGATTTATCCATATAAAGATATGTTTGTGGATGGGTGTGTGGGATTAGATGGAATCATTCATTCACATGGATCATTGAGTGTGTGTGTGCGTAAGTGAGTTTCTGCTGGCAGTTCTTGGCTTTTCCTTCTGGTTTTTTATTTACGCCCGCAATTTGTGCTGACAGGTCCCATAATTTATGGCAGCCCACTCATTGATTACGCCACAACCGCTCAAAGGTAAAAATCATTTTCGACTTTAAAAGATTCTTATCAGACTGGCCAATAGATTTGCTGCTCTTTTCCACATTGGTTTTCCACTCTTTGGCCGTTTAACTGCTCTTTTCCCATTTGTGGTCATAATTTGTCGGCTCACCAAGCTCTCGGGAAATGAAACAGTAGAAATTCTGATACTTTAACTTTATTTTACGTTATTTCATCGTAATTACTTCATCAGTTTCTTTTCTTCCTTCTAAGTATTTAACCCTGATTTATATTCCTTTTATTAAAATAAATATTAAACTAAAAATGGCCTTTCTAGAAGAGTTATCTCTTAAAAGTTTTTTTTATGATTTAATTATATTTTCTATATAATTATGATATTTTATTTTATGTTCATTGAGCGAATTGAAAGTGAATGAGTCAATAAATTCCCCAAATCTCTAAAAAAAAGCAGTTCGATCTATCGAAGATTGACTGTATTCAGTTTGGACCGCTGGCCAAGCGGAAACGAGAGCTGCCTCGCTTTGACAGTAGCTTCCAGCCGTTTCCGCTTTCCGCTTTCCGCTTGCTGGCCAAAATTCCAGCGACAATTTTTTTCGGTTTTAGCCGAATGAAAAGCGGGGGCAGGTGGATGTTTTGTTGCAATTGTTTGCAATTTTGTTGCCACCACAAAATGGCCAACTGTTTTCGAGGCTAATCTGTTGGCAATTTGTTGCCTTTTTTTTTGTCGTCAATTTTGGTTTTATCGTTATGCAAAGGCTTTAAGTGCTTTTCACTAATATTTTTAAAGGTTTTTCCTGCTGAAAAGACTTTAGTAACGAGATTTGCATATTTTCCTTTGCCTGCATTTTACTCTGTGTGTGTATAGAGTGGCATTATGCTAATTGTAAGCACCCAGAGCCTGCTTTTAGAATTTATCCAAAGGGAGATTTTGTTTTTTGAATATTTTTGTTTTCATACAGATTTGCGTTCATCACTCATTTGTTGTTGGCCCTCGCTAATTAGAAGCGTGCCTCAATTGCTGTGCCGAAATTTATGCAGATAAAGTCAGACCTCAAGGGAAAGTAAAAAATGAGAGCAAGGAGAGCTTCAAGGAACTTTCTTTTGTTTCAAGGGAAAGTGGCAAGGAAATTGCAAGAGTTTTTTTTGGGTTACAGTTTTGTGCGTGGAATATTGTAGGGTTTAAAAATATACTTAAGCAGAGTGTTTGGCAAAATTATTTCCATTTCCATCTTATTTTACCCCGTGTAACTCTCTTTTTTCCTGACTTTTGTCATTTATTTCGGGAAATCCGCTTATATTTTGGGATTGCTGATGGGGTAAGACGAAGCCAAGCTTATTTTGCTTGTTAATATATATTTTTGCTTATAAGCAGAAATTCGGATATGGAAGCTCTTAATAAAATAAAACGGAGGAGATGTAAGTAAGTGCAGCTGGAAGTATCTCCTTTTAAGCTACCTTAATTCTGTTTTCATATGCAAACGCAGCTTTTTAAAAATGTAAGACTAAGCAAGGCTAAGTAAAGTAGAGAAGCTCAGACTATCTTAGCTAGTAGGGCTATATAGTAGAATTATATAACGAAAACTATCTGTATTCTTATAGATATAAACTTAAGCCTGCTTAACGATAATAATGCTGATAAATTTCTATAAAAATTCCCATTATTTATTCCTTATAAAAATGCGCTTTTTGATTGCCGATTGGCTGGCAGCAGAGCCACTTAAGTGCTAATGTTTCTACTGTCTGGGTTATTAAAGTTAAGCCAGCCCATTGTTGTGGGCTTCTTTAACTTTCATGGGGATTTACGGGCGGGGCATTAAATTGACAGCTCGTTCCCTTGATATCTCTCAGGAGATGATCAATAAAGTCAATCCCCAGCAACCAATTGACAGGTCTTCCAGTTCCAGTTCTTGCTTGGTTTTTCGTGTGCCACCCCCAGCTTGCATCTCTTTAAGGAGGAATATTTTTACGACTCGTGGTGGTTATGTAACCAACAAAGGGCAAAAAATGAAAATGATTTCAAAAATCATTCGTGTGTAAAAATGGCAAGCAAGTAGAGACATTGGCTTAATGGATGCCGTGCCCACAAAAGCGGGCTATACAAAAATTGCGACCCGAGGCCTTCAGTACCGGATGGCGGGTGCCGGGAAAAATGTGGGTGAAGTTCGCCGCATGGAAAATCCATTTATCAAAACGACGTCCAAAGAAAACCGCAAACGCATCGCACAATTTGACGCCAAACAAGCAACAATAACAAGAAACAAATGATTTAAATTAATCCACTTAAGGCCACTTAAACCCCCGATGCTAGCAGATGAAAATATATATATTCTGTATATTCCCACGCTAGCAAATTCATATATATATGTATATATAATATATATATTTTTATCCCTGTTCATGTTCGAATTATCTGTGGATGAGTGTAAAATGTCAAACACAGGGAGTGGAGAGGACTTCTGGTCGACTGGGAATGGCTTCACATAAATGCAAAAGAAAGCTGTTTTATGGGAAAAATGTGAAAGGATTCCATGGCATATTGACCTAGGGTGGGCTGTGCACTTTAAAGGTGACACTGGGTGAATATTAAATGTATTTTGTGAGTGCCCACTGGTGAAGTGCAAATTAGGACAAATTAATCCTTTTGTCGGGCTTCGAATTGCCTTTAAGTGCTGGCTTACACGGGTGTCTTAAAGTTATCTGAAATAAACTTTTGCTGTTGATAATTTAAATGAAAATTTAGGTATTTTTTACTAGCCTTTTTTTTTTATTTTGATAGACATTTCAGAGGATATAACTTAGGGCTGATAGCTGCCTTGCACTTACCTGTCAATTTCCCCTTTCGGAAATTACAGATGCAATCTGTTTTCTAAGTATGTTACCTTATCTCTGTTTAGTTCGCAAAAATTCAGGTATTAGCTTTTGAATGAAATTTATATATGACTAGACTGAAATGGAGTTTACCATGTTATGTTATCTAATGCTTTCCCTTTGTAAATCAGAAACCTCTCGTTCCCCCAAAGGATATTGCCCGCAAATAAGTGGGTTTGACGGCGTGACATATTGAAGAGGGAAGCCGTAGGAAAAAATATTTCGCAATTTCAATATAAACCCTGGCGGCATGCTAAGGCGGCTAAGGACAATCGTGGGCGGCGGCACGCCCTCAAATGTGGGTCAAACTACACTCGCACACTCTCACGCAATTGTTGTTGTTTGGTGGGTTGGCAGGGGAGGAGGGGGAAAGGAAGGTCGGAAGGTTGTC